GGGGGGGGGCCGTGTGTGGAGGGGGGGGGGGGTGGCCTCCGGGGCTCCGCGCGTTTCGTGAGGCGTCGTCGTCGTCGTGACCCCCCCCCCTCCTTTCCAGAAGGCCGCGCCGCCTCAGGAGGGCTTTTCCCGCCACTCCCGTCCCCGGCTTCTGCCGTCCCCGCCTCCCTCTCTCCTCCTCCTCCTCCTCCTCCTCCCTCGGGCACCGGCCGGGGTGGGCGGCGCTAGTCGGGGAGAGGAGGCGGCGGAGGCGAGGCTCTGGGCGAACAAAGAGCAGCGGCGGCGGCGGCGGCGAGCGGAGGGAGGCAGCGGCCATGTGGGGCGGGAAGCCTCCGCCGGGGAGCGGCGGCGGCGGCGGTGGCGGTGCTGCTGAGGAGAAGGCGGAGACGCGCCGGGCGGCTTGAAGCGGGCCTCGACGGGGAAGGAAGGCGGGCTGAGGCGGCGGCGGCGGCCCCGTTCATGATGGCGGCGTGGCGGCGGCGGCGCTGAGGCGGGCGGGCGGCGGGGCCATGGCGGCGGCGGGGGTGAGCTACTCGCCGCCCTGGTGGGTGAGCCTCCTCCACCGCCTGCCCCACTACAGCCTCCGCTGGGAGGCCGCCGGCGACGACTTCCGACCCGACGACGCCGAATACCAGCAGGTGAGAAAAGGGGAGGAGGAGGGGGACCTCCCGGGTTTGGATCGGGGCCGCCGGTGGAGGGGGAGAAGGAGGGAGGGGGGGGGGCGACGACGATTGCAAGCCCCTTCCCCCCTTTCCCCCAACCTATTTCCCCACGTGCTTCGGGGGTGGGGGTGGAGGGGACGGGCGAGCTGAACACGGGTCTCCCAGATCACAACGTCGCCTCTGCTTCCAAATAGGCACCTATAGATATCACAATCTGCTTTCCTAGTTGGGGATGAGGAGGGGAAGTTGAGTGTCGCCCCCTGCGTTATATCTCTCTCCCCCCCCCTCGCAGATTATGCACTGATAGGTATCATGGAGGGGGGGGGTTAGGTATAGTTAACAGATAGTTATCATGGGCATGTATAGGTATCATGGGTTTTTTTAGGTATAGGTATCAGGGGGGGGTTAGGTATAGGTATCATGGGCATGTGTAGGTTATCAGGGGGGTATAGGTATTATGGGGGATATATAGGTATCAGGGGGTTTTTTAGGTATAGGTATCAGAGGGGTTTAGGTATAGGTGTCATGGGCATGTATAGGTTATCATGGGGGGTTTAGGTATAGGTATTATGGGGATATATAGGTATCATGGGGGTTTTTTAGGTATAGGTATCAGGGGGGTTGAGGTATAGGTATCATGGGCATGTGTAGGTTATCATGGGGGGTTTAGGTATAGGTATTATGGGGGATATATAGGTATCATGGGGTTTTTTAGGTATAGGTATCAGAGGGGTTTAGGTATAGGTGTCATGGGCATGTATAGGTTATCATGGGGGGTTTAGGTATAGGTATCATGGGCATGTATAGGTATCATGGGGGTGATTCTCTCATCCGTGGGTTTTATTTTTATATTGGGTTTTAATAATAGTGACATCTTAAACATTGTTTTGTTGTGACCCGCCCTGAGCTTGTTTGCAGGGGAGGGAGGGCTAGAAACCAAATAATAAGTAAAATCCTCCTTTCATACCTCCAGCAGAAGGGGGAGTCATGCATCTTTTCTGCTGCTGGTGAACTCCCTCTCAGGTCCCTGTCCCCCCTTAGTTTTCACCCCAACATACCCACGACTGTCTCTTCCTCCCCTTTTTGCCCCCAGTTTCCCCATAAAGGTAAAGGTAAAAGTAAAGGTTCCCTTGCTCGAAAGCCAGTCGAGTCCGACTCTAGGGTTGCGGTGCTCATCTCCGTTTCAAAGCCGAAGAGCCAGCGCTGTCTGAAGACGTTTCCGTGGTCATGTGGCTGGCATGACTAAACAACCAAGGCGCACGGAACGCTGTTCCCTTCCCACCGAAGCGGTCCCTATTTATCTACTTGCAATTTCTTGCTTTCGAACGGCTAGGTTGGCAGGAGCTGGAACTAGAGACGGGAGCTCACTCTGTCATGTGGCACACTCGGGTCTCGAACTGCTGAACTACCGACCTTCCACAGCCTGCAGTTCAGCGTCTTCACCACTTGAGCCACCGCAGTTTCCCCATATTGAGTGTTAAAAGGGCCTTTGGTTGGGGGTCCCTGTTCCTTCTCTGGCACCCCGCACATGTCTCTCGCCCCCCCCCACATATGTCCCTTACACCCCCAAACAATCTCCCTAAGAGTGTTTAAGGGGTGGGGGGAATCATATCATGTCTTAATTTGTTTCTTCTCGCCCCAGCTCCTCCCAAACTCTGCATGCTTTCCTGCATATGCCCCAATACTCCCTCACCCACCCTCCCCCCTTTCCAAAATCCCTAATCTGAAATAACAATTTCATCCCTTCATAAAGACGATTTGCGTTCCCTGTGTTCTTCCCTGTACAAGGCCCGGTTCACACATTCAAAGTCCCGTGGTGAAGCCTTTCCTGGACTGCACCACTTCCGGCTGGGGGTGGGGGGATTTGCGTGGCTGCATGCTGTCCAGGAACAAAGGCTGCCTTGGATATTAGGGAAGAAGAGAGCATATTGGGGAGAGAAGTCCAAGCTGGACGTTACTTCCTGACATGCTGAAGGGGTGTTCATGTGTGGAGAACATTCCTAGGAAATCCCCCCCCCCAGCTTGAAGCGATGCAGTTGGGAAATGGCTTCGCCATTGGACGAGAGGTTTAGGAGAGACCGCAATGAACCCTTTTGTATACATTACCTCCTCACGTGTTTCGTATTAAGCTTATTTGTTTACTTCATTTATAATTGTCATTCTCGGGCCCTCCCTCCCCTTTAGGTTGAAGGGAGACTTTTGTCTGCCTTCTTGGTATCTCCTCTCCCCACCTTCCCCCCTTGCGTCCCCTCATCCCCAGATTTAAAGGCAGAGAGAAGGAACAGAGGGTTTTCGTTACTCCTTCACTCCCGTTGTGCACGCAGGCAGGCTTGTGGGCCGTGGAAAAACGCTCCCCTTCCACATCTCGCTGGGGAGTTACCGCTGAGGACAAAACGGGGGGGGGAGGAAAACCAGCAGCCCACTCGCCCCATTTCATCGCCTCCACAGAAAGGAATTCGGGGAGGGGGAAGGTGGCTATGGGAGCGCACCGGCGCAGTTGCCCACCTCTCCAAGTGGAACTTGGGGGGATGGAGGTTGGGGGCGGTTGGCAGGGAAGCTTCCATTTTCCATCACGCCTTTGCAAAGTTTTCGGAGCTATGGGGGGGTGGCAGAAGTGGAATTCGAATTTGGAGGCGGATGAGGACTTGGATAGGGTCCTCTCCCCCCCCCCCCCAAACTCAGGAGGAAGGCAAGTCGGTATTGTCGCCAGTTCTGAGGTTCACATAACCTGCATCCCAAATGTCTCTCTGAGGATGAGAGCTAGCATGGAGGGGGAAGCCTTCCATATTTATTCCTCCTTTCCCTTGGATCTCTTCCCCCAAGCTTTTGAAGCACCTGACGTCAGTCTCGGGTAGCGATTAGGTTCACTTTGTTAAGGGGAAAGGAGAGCCTTCAGAGCTAGCCCACTCTGTAATCCTTTCATCGCTGGGTGTGTCCCCCCCCCCAGCCCCAATGTCCGCGACCACTTTTGAGAGGGAGGGAGCTGCGCGCCGCTGTTATGAAAATGGATGACTTAATGCCTCTCAGCTATATCGAGGTTGAATTTACAGCGCTAACGAGTCTTGCAGGCACTAACGGAAGGGTTCCTCTGTTTCTAAGCCTGATGCGTCTGCTCTCGGTTTTCCGACACAAATGCCGGTGAATGGCGTTTCCGGGTGTCGTCTTTTTTTTTTTTTTTTTTAGGGGACCTGGTCTAACGAGTGCCTTGTTTCCCCAACATCTGTAAAATGAAAAACACCATTTTGCACCTCTTGGTGCACTCGTTTCAGCAAAAAAAACAGCAATAGCATCCAGTGCTTGGAAACGGCAGTGTATCTGTGCTGGTCTCCTAAACCTCCTTCCGTGCAAAAGAAACACTCTTAAAAAAAAAAAAGGATCCCCTTACAAATGAAGGGTAAAATAATTAAGAAATCTGTCTGTTTCTCAGATCAAAGCTGCTGGTGGCTTTCCTTTCTTTAAAGAATCCCTTTGTTGCGAAATGAAGGATCTTGAAGGAAAATGTTGCATGTTACACGACGAGTTGGGAGCCTCAATGGTTCTGAAGGTTCTCTTGTTTATCTTGCCTCCTCTTACGTAAGAGTCGCCAGCCTCGTCCCCGAGGAGTGTACGTGATAAAACCAGCCCTGGGTCTTTCGCTTTCATCCTGCAAGGTCTCTTTGTAATGTTTGTCAACTCAAGAGTGTTTGTAAACCCGCACCTAACTGCAGGTCGATGAACAATAGGAGACTTACAGAGATCAAGGCCTAAATAATCAGATGAAGATCAAACATGTTGTGGGTGTAGAGTACAGGAGGGATGCGGCCATGGAAGAAGCCGTGTTTTTTCTCAATCTGTGCATATCATCTCTTGCTTGAAAATTCCTTTCTGCATGCTTCCCCTGTGGCAAATGAAAATCCAGACTTCGGCCCATTCTTTCCTTAGGATCTTGCATCCTTGACTTGGTCTTGTTTGAAAAGAACTATTCCTGACAGTGGCACAGGATATTTTTGTAGGGGCAGCGAGAGGGATAAGGTTATGATAACAGAGCAGATGCTTCTGCCGGTGTCCCGGTCTTGAGGCTCGGTTGCTAGGTAGTGGTGACCAATGATCCCTCTAAGCTGAGTTAGTGTGAGCTAGCTCACTGTTTTTTAGCCTCCGGCTCACACATTTTTGTCTTAGGAAGGATGGGCTCCAGAGCAAACTGATTTATGCAGTAGCCAAATCGCTCGCTCACAACTTTAATGCCGGTGGCTCACAAAGTAGAATTTTTCCTCACAAGACACCACAGCTTAGAGGGAGCATTGGTGGTGACCACAATGCAACCCAGGTGCACTGAACATTGCCAATAAGGTTTCTGCTACAGAGGGAAATGGCAGTTGTTGAGGTGGCCTTCAGAGTGATTTGAGGTCAGCCGCCGTAGTCTGCGCTGCGTTAGTAAGACAACACCGGAAGCTGCCTTAATACTGAATCAGACCCTTTGTCCATCAAGGTCAGAATTGTCTGCTTAAACTGGCTGTCCAGGGTTTCAGGTGAAGGTCTTCCGCATCACTCCTTACATGATTCCTTTTAAGTAGAGATGCCAGGGATTGAACCCGGGCCTCTGCCATCCACGCTGATTTTCTTCCCCCGAACCACGTCCCCACCCCAGACGAGCATCGTGTCTGTTCCCCTATATATTTTCTGCAACTTGCCTCTTCTCGTGTCCTGGATATGGCTGAGTGCTGTTTTAGGGAGATACACGGAGGAGGAATACACCCCCATTGCAGACTCCTATGGGGTAAACAATCGAAGAACAGCCGCTTGACAGTCTAGGCATGTCAACACACACGCTCGTTAAATGGGAGAGTTAATAATATGTGCTCTCTCCTCAATTAACCCGGTGAGCGTGGCTGAATGCTGCAGAGTTCAAAGTACGGTAAGGGTGTATTAACCTGCCGACGTGGAAGTTCGTCTTCTTTAAGAAAGGCGGTCCGTGTAGCCGCTTGACATGAGAAGTG